GACTGCTGTCTGGTTTCCTGTCTCAAGCTCTGGCATTACTGCTTCAGATGAGAACCGGGGTCTAAGAAAGGGACAGATCAGGCTTGAAAGCGAGAATACTATAAAAACCACCACAATCCTCTTGCAACTCACTCCGAGATGAATTTTGACTAGAACGTTACACATTAGCAAACCAGGTATCAATTGCTTTATGAATCTAGGGATTTTTTTTTTTAAAGCTAGAACCAATGAATATGAAGCATTTCAGAAAGAAACCCAAATTCCAGAATAATGTAATTCCTAGTCTTTAAAGGATGAGGTTGCTTGTTGTTTTTTTCTTTAAAACACAACTGGTGTGAAAAAACAGAGTAAGAAATACCACCTAAGAAAGCTGTTCATTATAGCAAGAATGTTGACTTGGAAATATTAAGACAAGTATGTAAACGGGGGGGGAGGGTAGAAATAAAATGGGATTAAATTAGGAATAATGACTTGCATGGTCAAGAGATGAAACTATTATTCCCATTTTTTTTCCCTTTTGTAATTTTAGTAACTATCAGACTGGTATAATTTTCCCAAATTGTTCAGCTTAGCTTTTAAAGGTTTGAAAAGCTTTTTTTCCTGATAAAATACATGAGACCCTAATCATGTCTATTAGCCAACCACGTCCCTCTCCCCCAAAATGGGGAAGAATAACTTGGGAGTAAGCTAAACAAAGATCTGTCTACAAAATCTAGTTGGATTGTTAACAGCTTTGGAACTAAAATTGAAAAAGTTGCTTGATTTGGGTTACTTACGAATTTTAGTTTAAAGGTCCCTTGCGCTCTGAATCAGCTTAATATTTCCAGTTTTCCTCTCCCAAAGTTTTCTTATTGAAAGCTTCCAAAGCATCCATCTTTTTTCAAGGAAGTTTATCAGTAACCTTCTATTTGATTCTAGTAGTTTTCTTAATATCATATCATATATTTCTCTTTATCCATAAAGAAAGAATGTGGTAGAATGTGAAGTTAAAAACCAAAGTACTAGTATCATCAATTTTGCGGAGGATAGGATCTGATTTGCTGCCTCGGCAACTCTGAATTAATTCCATTAGAGAACACTGAAGATATTTCCTTTGGATTTTAAGGAAAATCCAAAAATAAGTTTAAAAAGAAACTTGCCAGGAGTTTTCTTATCCAACTTACATCTTTAAAACTTAGTTTCTGAAGAACCAAGAGAAAAAGTTAGTAGGTTTTAAATAGTTAACCTAGAAATGTTAGCCCACAACGGACAGAATATACCAACAAAAAAAAAAAAAAGAGGGGGATTATGAAAAAGTTGGTGTTGTAAGACAATAAAAACAAGAGAAGTCTCCTTCTGTTTTCAAAATATAAGATTAAAATTTTCCAGACTGTCAGGAATATGAATTTCTCATTTCCAGTTCTCCTTTTCTCGGAGCTTTTTATTCTTAAAACAGATCGGAAATCAAATGTAGAATACATCTTGGTCCTTGGGAAAATTATCCTAGCACTTACATCTTTCTTTGTCTTTTTAAAAGAGATGACCCTGGGATTGATTTCCTCAATGTATCTTACGTTTTGGCTTCAATACTTTTCCTAAAGATTTCATCCTTAAAACCTAAGCGAGATTCTTCCAATCAGCCCCGTCTGCCAGGGGGGCCTCCTACTTGGAGAGCCAGTGCTACCTGGGAACAACGCTGGGCCACAGCCTGCAGATAATGCTAGGTCTTCTAAAACTGTAAGGTGGCAATCCCTCCTCCAACACTGACAGCTTCAGGGCCAAAGGCCTATCTCTAAGCAAACACCCTGCCCACCTCAAAACAAGCCTGGAAAACAAGACAAATTCAACTCCTTTAGACGTCTAGCCAACCTGCACACACATTTCTCAGAGTCACCCTTTGGCAATGGTGAATTTAAAAAGACACAGTATTTATTCCCTCACAGAAAACACACCGGAGCAAAGGGTGTATGTAAAAAAGGTTAACCGACTCCTCGTTATGACCTAACACTGGCCTCTTAGGCAATTGCCAAGTGTGTAGAGACATGATAACTCCCTGGGTGGGGATCGGGAGTTTAGGGGCAGGGACCACGGCCTGGTCTGGGCTACTGATCTACCAGAAAACAGCCCGAAACAGGAAAGAGCACACATATGCCACTTGGAATGTATGACGCAAACCCCAGCCTTGAAACAAAGAACAGGAAACAGCTCTGCTGGCCGTGCTGGAGAGCGAGCTCAGAGAAACATTTAGCCGGCCCTCCCTGACCCTATATTCATGAGCAGCTGGAGTTTTTTCAGACAACAACAGGGGGGTGGAGGTGTTTGTTCTATGGGTGTGAATAATAACACCAGCTTTATACAGGAGACCTGCCCTATTTACAAATAGGAGCTTCCACATACAGTAAACATCATAAGGGAACATGTGATTTTATCATATGCGGGCAGCAGAGATCTTCCTAATTAACACCAGCCTCCTTTCCAATTTCTTTTGTCTCTTTCTCCCCCATCCCAGTGACTGGTTTCTAGCCATGATCAAATTCGGGGTTAGGGCAATGACTATTGTTCAGCCTCAGCATCATGAGGAAAATGCAAAGAAAGCACTGGTAACAATTCAGAGGACAACTGGGTTATCCCACATGAACTGACAAGTGGACCAGTTCTAAGTGTCCCTCAGCTATACAGCACTACATTCCTAGACACTGATGTGGGCTACCTAGAATCACCCCCTCCCCAAATTTCACCATCTTTTTCAACTGCACAGTCAGAAACCTATCCGCACACAGCTGCACATCTGTTCTCCATGTACACACATCTATAAAGAAATTCACCCCTTTTGAGAATGAGATTCTGTTCCTGACATTTCATTTAACCCAAAAGTGTTATACAGTCTGGAGACCAGAGTATCAATTTTTATAAGATATCCGAAAATGTCTATTTTCCCTTAGGTATATTTTAGGTAGTAAAACCCATTCATAGTCTTCCCCCTCACCCCCCCGGGTTATGTCTCTTTATTTTGTTAGCCAGGACTGTTCAACTCAGGTTTCCATGATCAGAGATTGAATAATCTGTGTGTAAACAAAACTACAGGTAAAAAAAAAAAAAAAAAAAAAAGGCATCACTGTGCCCATAGCAACCAGAAGATTGGGTTTTAATTTAGAAACTTTGCAGTGAAAAAACAATAGCATGTTTTATATCTGACAAGATTTTGTGGTCTTAGCAACTACTTTTCTTTGTTATTCTCACACTAAGATTTTTAGACTTGCATTCTCCTTCATGAAAGCCAAATGTTCCTTAAAGTGTATCTTTACGGCACTTACAATAGTGCCATTAGGCTTTTTTCTTCTAATATTTCTCCTGCAAACCCCACTGACTGTGGAACTGGGGACAGTTTCTCTAGAGTTGAAATTCATCAAAACATCTCATTTCAGGTTTCTGGTAAGAGGCTAAGGTCAACATACTCCATGCTCTGAGCCGCAAGAAACTCATTTGTCCATTCTTTCTTAAAAAAAAAAAAAAAAACAAAAAACTAACTCCTGAAATTTTGGAGATGTTATCAGATTGCCTTTTCCCTAAAACCAAGTCTTTCCTCCGGTTAGGCAGATTATCATCCAGATGGATTTCTTATATAAAAATGCTGCTCAAATTCACACAGAAAGCACTTAAAAAAAAAAAAAAGTACAAAACTGCTCAGTGGACAAATCTATAATGAACAACTGCCCTAGTCTCCTACTCGATTTTGCTAATAATTATATACTAAAGGTAAATGAAGTCAGAATACCACTACATACTTCTCCCCAAATCCCAGACTCTTGTGAGAATACAACCAAAATATTTAAAGTATCTTGGGTGATATTAGTGGAAAAATACATTCTGAGCTAGTAAAAAATTCAGTGCAAAATGTTTATTTTAGTGCAATACAAGGTGAGCAATTTCCAGTTTCCGTTTAACCTGACTTATTAAAAATAAGTCCAGTTCACACAGGTTCTCCATCTATTATTATTGTATATTGCTGTAAAACGTAAAGCAGAAGATTCTCCCTGATATCTGCCAAAGAAGTGGGTATGACAATTCCAAGTATTATCTGCCATCTCCAAGAACGGCACTCTGAAATGTTAGGTAAGTCCCAAGGGTCCAGGTCCAGGGGATCAGTCAGTCCCTCAGTCCCCACACGGCTCGAGTCCCTAACGCTGCAGGCAGTTGCCTAAGGCGCTCTCCGCCTCCAGCCTCGCTGCAATCCTTGCTCCAGGCACTGCGGCAGGTTTTCTCTGCGCGCCCGAGGAGGACTCTCCAAACCCGGCCAGCTCTTTTCTCCTGCCCCCGAGGATCCAGACGCCCTGGCAGCTCCTGGGCTCCAGGACTGGGAATGGGATGCTGCCTTCAGTCCCAACGGCCCCGAGTTTCTTCCCAGAGGGCCCGGGAGGCTGCTCCAAGTTTGCTCCGGCGGGCGAGCGGTCGCGCGCCCGGTCCGAAGAGGGGGGCGGCGGGGGGCGGGGAGGGGAGGGCGCGGGAGCGGGGGGTGGGGGACCCGGAGGGGGAGGAGCAGGAGCAGGAGTGCGCGGCCTCCTCACTACCTTTCTCCAAACAACGTTGCCACACGCGGAGAGCACTGAGATTTCTGGGGCTTTGGAGGGAATCGCGAGCGAGGGAGCGAGCGGGCGGGCGGGCGGGCGGCAGCCGGGGGACCACACAGGTGAGCCCCCGCCCGCGCCCTGGCTGGGACCGCGGCGGGCGCCGCCGGTCTCGGTCCCCCACACCGCGGGATCCGCACGGTGGCTCCCCCAAATCCCACACTTTCAACCGCTGAACCCGGGGTTCCCCCCTCCCCCTCGCCTCCCCTTCCGCCCCCACCCCCGGCTTCCAGGAGCTGTTGCACTTTCCCAAGCCCACAGGCGCCCCCACCCCCGCGCTGCACCCCCCAGCCCATTCACTGCGCGCCCCCCAGGGGAGAAAAAATGAGACCGGACGAGCCAGAAAGGGCGACAGCAGGAGTCGGGCCGAGGGAAGGTGAGGGAGAGGGGACTTACTTTTCGAGGCGCGGTGCTGAGCGCTGCAGACGAGAAATAAAGGCCCAGATCTGAGCCGCCTCGAACCCCGCGAATGCAGTAATGTCAGCGCGCCAGCCGGGGTGGCGGTGGCGGCCGCAGGGCACGGGGACAGGAACGGGGACGGGCGCGCGTGCGGCGGGCGCTCGCGCTGCGCTCCGGCTCGGGCCCCGGCTCCGCGCGGCTCCGCTCCTGGCTCCCCTCTGGCTCCTGGCACCAACTCCGGGCAGTCACATGACGCCGGCGCCGCTCGCTCTGCGAGCCTCCCGGGGCTGGCGGGGTAAGTAGAGGCTGGGACCCAGGGTGGGAGGGTCAGGGAGGGGAGAGGGAGCCGCCGCGGCCGCCCGGGCTGGGCGGGTCCCCACCCACTTGGGTGGAGGCAGCCGCCGGAGGGGTCGGCCGAGTCACTCGCGCAAACACGCACCCCGCCCTGCGCCCTTCCCCCGCCACCCCCGCCTCCCGCGCCGCCTCCGCCCCGCCCCGCCCAGTCACCCGGGGACGGCCTGACAGACACTCATTATTCCCCGGAGCCGGGCGCCGCCCCGCCGGCCCAACCTGTCCGGCGAGGCGCGGCGCGGCCGAGGGGCTGGGCGTGCGCGGCGCGGCCCCCGCCCTTGAGCCTCCGCCCTCCGCCCCCCGCCCCGGCCCGGCCCGGCCCGGCCCCGCGCCCCTGCTCCCGCCCCCGTCGTCCCCGCCCGCGCCCCCTCCCTGCGCCCTCCGCCTCCCGTCCCCCGCCCGCTCGGGACCCGCCGCCGCGCCGCCGCCCCAGCCCGCGGGGAAGGAAGGGCGGCGCTGCCCGCTCCGGGCGTCACAGGGCTGCAGCCCGCTGCGCCGCTTCCAAAACACACAGCCGGGCGCGCGGGCTAGCCGAGGCGGGGGACCCGGGCGGCCCGGCCATCAATCAGCCGGCTCCGGCGGGAAGGGCGGCCCCGGGCGCGGCGGGAAGGGCTGGGCCCCGTGGCCAGCGCGGCTCCTCCTGGGCCGAGTGCGTGCAACTCTCTTAAAGAAAAAGCAGAGAAAGGCAGGGGTGCTGAAGGAGGGGGAGGAGCGGGGCAGATTAGGGGGCAGAGGAGCGGCGGGAAAGGGGAGGGCAGTGGGGATTGACTTAAACCCTAAAATGGTCCCGAGTTTCCAAGGTCATTCGACACACTGTTAGAGCGCTCTTTGTGCCCGGGGCGCCGGGTCCCCTCGTCGCCCGCCCCGCGGAGGGGCGGCCCGGGGCGGGGGGTTGGGGGCGCGTTCCCGCCCCCACCCCAGGGCTTCTTTGAAGGTCCGGGGACCCCCGGAGGCAAACTTCCCACGGGCCGGGCCTGCCAGTGGAGCGAAAAGGCAACCGGTAGCAGCGGCATTTGCTCAGCCGGGCCTGCCCGAAAACTTGGCAAACTTCGGTCGGGTTCCTCCTGCCCGGAGGGAGAACTCCGGGCCAGCAGAGGGCTCGGCCCGGCGACCTTTCATTTTTTTGTCGCTTCCCTGGGACCGAGCGCGAGCGTGCTCGGTGCGGGGCGGCGGAAACGCGCTTGCTGTCCCAGCCAGGCCCCCCGGGAGGACTTGGTATAGCTTAGCCCCCGAGTTTAATGCTTTTTAAATTTCTTTTAAACAGTATTAATGTAATAAAGAATGCAATAAAAAGACCAAAGGACAAATTGGTTCAATTGTTTTAGTCCTGTGTAATGTTTAAAAAAAAACGCCCTGCTTCAGTGTATGGCTTGTTATTGCTTCAAGATGTTTTAAAGGCCCTTTAAGTTCACCATTCTCACTTTGATGCTTCGTCCAGGCATGGTACTGCTTAAAACGTAGAGATACAGTATATGCCGAGCCCCATCATGTAGCTACGCAGTAGCTACTAAAATTAGTACCGGGTAACCTCAAGTAGTGAAATTGCACGTTATAAAAAAATGCACATAACATAAAAGACCACATGGAGAACACCCAGATCTGACACTGGTTCCTGTCCCATAAGATTAATCTTTAAAAGGGGTGAGGAGTTTCTTTTAACGAGTAAAGGACAGATGCAGGAAAATAAGTTGGATTCGTGTCAATTACTAATTGTGGTTCATTGATCACTGACATCAAACGTCTGATTGGATGGCTTAGATTTGTATTAGCTGGAAGACCCTATTAGTGATGACTGATGAAATCGTTTTGCACTTCCGTGTCTGGCTCCGTGGTAGGGGCCCCAAAACTATAGGCTTTGCTCAGAGGGCACTAGAGGTGAAAACCTAAAGCACATAAACCGTGTTCTTTACATTGCTCATGTGGGTGTGGACCCAAAGGAGAAATGTGAAATAGGTCTGAGAAAAGTGTGATCCAAGATAAGTAGGGAGTGGCTTCGATATGGAAAGTGGGGGAAGGAGGAGAAAAGTCATAAAAAAGTTTAATTAATGAACACACTGTGTTCAGTGCCCTGTGGGAGATAGCTGAAACACAACTTGTACAATGATGAAGGATCCACTGAAGGAGACCACCATCTGTCCAGGTACCCAAACCAGAAATGTCTGAAGTCATCCTTGACTCCTCCCTTCCCCTAGCTGGTCAGAGCCCTGTCATTCACTGAATCTTGGGCCTCCTCAATCCCTACCCATTCCTTGACCACTCTCCTGGTCCAGCCCATTGCCACAGTGTCTTGTTGGTCATCCTGTTTGGAGTGGGAGCTGAAGTGTGGGAAAGGGATTAGAGCAAAGGAATAATAAGAATACTTTTTCTAAAATGGAAACCTAAACGTGTCAATGTCTTCGTTGCATTCCCATCGGATAAAGTCCAAGAGTTTACTACCTGTGCTGACCTGGCCTCCATCTATCTTTATAGACTCATCTCTTCCTATTATGCCCCACCCTATTCTTCCCTCCAGCAACACTCAACTTTTTTCCCACCAACTCACTCTCCCCACCTCTGGCCCTTTGCACATGCTAATTTTTCTAGGTGGACTAGCCTCCTTGCCTTCTCCCCCAACTCCTGACCTCTACTCTCATTTCTGTATGTTCCAACCATCCTATAATTATTGACTTAAATGACATTTTCAACAAAATGTATCTTGTCTTACCACCATTATTCACCCCACCTTTGGATGAGTGGAGGTGCTCCTTCTTGGTGCTCTGATAGCACTCATGCTTCACCTCTTGTAACTCTTTCTTAGAATTGGTTATTTAACTCTCTTAACGTGGCACTGAAATAAGAAACTCTGTGAGGGCACGGACATTGTCTTTTTAGCAAAATTGTATCCTCATGGCCCAGATGTTCAATGAATATTTGTAAAATGAACAAATGTCAGCTATGAATTGGGAAGAAGTCATTCAGAGCTAAAGAGATGAGAGAATAATTGGCGAGCTTCAAGGTGGCAGTGGCCATGAACTGTATATACCTTTGAGATAGTGAAAAGGAGGGAGGAGGGAGTTCTCTCTCCCTGAATGTCTTTGAGCAGTAAAGTGATATGGTCAAAGTGGTGCCTAGGTCTTCTTTTTATCCTTAACATTAGCACAGCGCCCACACGTGCTCAGTTGTTTAAGACATCTCGTATAAACGAAATATCTCAAGCTTGGTCCTTGTGGTAGCTGCTTTACTCTTGTTCTTTGAGGACAGTAGGCCGGTCTGGTTTAGGTTTGGGACAGCATATACTGGGGGAAGGATACTCCTCCCTTGCCCCAGCCTTGTTGCTCCCAACCAGTCATGGCAGCCCTGGTCTCTTTTGCCAGTGACTGGCTGGAGAGTAGATATATGACCAAGTTCTGGCCAGTAGGACATGAAGGGAAGTGTGCTGGGGCTTGTTTTTCACCCTGAGTAAAGGAAACTCTTGCAAGGATAAACCCCCAGACCTGCTTTGGAAGTTATGTGAGGATGTGATTCTTGACGCTGTGGCAGCCATCTTGTAATCATGAGAAGAAAGCAAGGTTTCAGATTTCCATACGGATAAATAGCTCTTTTTTCATCATTAGTCGTCAGCTCAAATATGACATCTTCAGAGATAACTTCTCTGACCACATAATCTAAAATATCCCTTCCCTGGTCTCTGTCTAGTTGTTCTTGTTCATTTTTTAGATACCTTTCTCCCCACTGGAACCTGGGCTCTGTGAGAGCAGGGATATTCTATTCTTCACTCCTATTTCCCAAGCTCCTACAACAGGGTCTGGTAAATAGAAGGTGTTCCAAAAGTAATTGTTGATTAATGGCTGACAACTAAATAGTAACAGTGTGTTGAAACTGATTCAGAGATGCACGGACACAAGCCACCGCACGCCTCCATTTTCTCTTCCGTGGCTTGTATCATAGTTAGCTCCATTTCAGCAGGTCTCTTTCTGCTACACAAAGACATATTCTTGAGATTCCTTCTTCTCCCACTCTCTTTCAGAGCTTTTCCATTCCTTCCCATAGGAAAGTTTCTCCTTTTCATTTGACGATGCGCAACGTTATGAAGGTAGAAAAGTGTCATGTGCTTAAGAAATTATGAGCAACACAGATAACATCTACCTTAAAGGATAACAAAGCCATATGGTTTTTTTCTTTTTTTTCCTGCTAGCTTTATTGAGATATTATTGGCCTATAACATATGTAAGTTTAAGGTGTACGACACGATGGTTAGAGACACCTATATATTGCAAATGATTGCCATAATAAGGTCAGTTAACATTTCCATCCCCTCACATAATTAGTATTTTTTGTGTATGTATGTATGTGTGTGTGGTGATAACATATAAAACTACCCTGTTAACAACTTTCAAGTATATAATACAATATTGTTAATTATATTCACCATGCTGTACATTAGATCCCTAGACCTTATTCATTTTGTAGCTGGAAGTTTGTGCCCTTTGACTGACATCTCCCCATTTCCCCACTAGGCACTGGAAACCACCATTCTACTGCCTGTTTCATGAGTTTTGGCTTTTTTAGATTCCACATATAAGTGAGATCACACAGTATTTGTCTTTCTCTGTCTGACTTATTTCACTTAGCATGATGTCCTCAAGGTCCATCTATGTTGTTGCAAAAGGTAGGATTTCCTTCTTTTTTAATGTGTGTGTGTGTGTGTGTGTGTGTGAATGGCAAGAGAGTGAGAATGAGAGAGAGAGACATTTTCTTATCCGTTCATCCATCAGTACTTGTTGTTTCAATATATTGGCTATTGTAAATTATGCTGCAATGAACATGGGAATGCAGAGATCTCTTTGAGATAGTGTTTCATTTCCTTCGGATATATACCTAGAAGTGGAATTGCTGGATCATATGTATCCAATATATATATATATATGGTAGTCCTACTGTAAACTTTTTGAGGAACTGCCGTACTGTTTTCCATAGTGGTTATACCAATGTACATTACAATTTACATTCCCATCAACAATACAGAAGGGTTCCCTTTTCTTCACACCCTCACCAATAC